TCCGATGTCGTGACGTCTCGCCCGACCCCTTCTCGACCCCCAATCCGTTTTTTTTGTGACGGCCCCGAGGCCCGGCGAGGGCCTATATGGGGCCGAACTTTCTGCGAACAACCTCCGTCTCGCTTGTTTTTTTGTCAGCGCGCTGGGTCTCTGGGTTCGGACCCCATCCCTCGGGAGGAGGCGGAGGAGGAGGAGGAGGAGGAGAAGGAGGAGGAGGAGGAGGAGGAGGAGGAGGAGGATTCGATTCGAATGCCCATTCGGGGAGAGTGCACAGCACTAAATACTGAGCTCAGGCTCAGACGCGCGCGCCGCCGCGGCCGCGGCGCGCCGCGGGCCGCGGGGCGCTCACGGCGCGGGCGGGCCCCCCCGCAAGCGGGCGGCATGGGAATGGCAAGCCAGCTCCCCCGACCCGTTTTGCCGGCCGGAAACGCCCGACCACCGACAGAACGGGCAGGAGGAGGAGGAGGAGGAGGAGGAGGAGGAGGAGGAGGAGGAGGAGGAGGAGGAGGAGGAGGAGGAGGAGGAGGAGGAGGAGGAGGAGGCGGAGGCGGAGGCGGAGGCGGAGGCGGAGGCGGAGGCGGAGGCGGAGGCAGCGCCGCGGCGGTGGCGCCCCAGCGGCACGCTCCGTGCCCTGCCGAGCGGGCAGCGTGCCCCGCTGCGCTGCGCTCCCCCTGGGGGGTGGGAGGCCCCTCGCACGGCTCGGGGCGTGGCCCTCTTCGGGGGCCTCCTCCTCCTCCCCTCTCCTTCCCTTTCTCCTCCTCCTCCTCCTCCTCCTCCTCCTCCTCCTCCTCCTCCTCCTCCTCCTCCCCCCCAGGACGACGTGGCCGGCGCGTCGCGCCGCAGCGGCGTGGGCCTGAGCTGGCGGCGCGGTACGGCAAGCACGCGCTGAGAAGGCAAACGATCCCCCCCCATAGTAACCACCCCGACAAGCGAGGCCGTTTCGTGAGCGCGCCCGAAGAAGGAATCGAGCAGGGCAAGTTTGTTTCGTAAACGCCCAGGGCCGTTCAATAAACGCCAATTGTCTGGTCCGGGTGGTTTTTCTTCCCTTGACTCCCGACCGTATCCCCGCAGCCGCTGGAAAACATCCCGAGGCTGGAAAGCCGACGAGACCCGACGAACACGCCCGGAAACCGCACACCTCTATCGTTGCCCCTAAGCCCTAAGCACACGTTCCCGACCGTATCCCCCCCTGTAGTTGGCCCCTCTTGGAGGCCTCGTGGGCCGTCTTGGGGCGATCTTGGGAGCCCTCGAAGGCGTCTTGGAGCGTCGGAAAGCCGAAACGGCGAGAAAGCCAACAACCTGGAAACACCTGCGGCAAATCAGTGATTCGAGCCTTCCTGGGCATTCCTGGGAAGGCTCTCGGAGGCCCCTCGAGACGTCTTGGGCCCTGGAGGCCAGCCCCCCTTGGCGGCGCGCACAAGGGTTAAGTCGGGCCTGTCCCCCTACAGGGGGATTTTCGACGAAAAAATAAGCATGTTCAAAACATGCTCAAAAGATGCCCAAACATAGTCAAAAAATAATCCCCAGACTAATTTTTGACTATTTTTGAATATTCCCCCTGTAGAGGGACAAGCCCGACTCAGCACAAGGGGGAAGGGTGCGGGGGGAAGGCTTCCCAGAAGGAGGCTGCTCTTGGAGGGCGCCCGCACTACCTCCGCAGACAGGGCCCGCGCCGCCTAGGGAGCAGGGGTGCTTCTTAGAAGCCCTCCCCCTCCCTCTAACCTTAGGTTTAAGTCGGGCGTGTCCCCCTGCAGGAAGATTTACGACGAAAAATGAAAATACTCAAACAATACTCCGAAAAAGTCAAAAATAATCTAAAAGTAGTCCCCAGACTTTTTTGGATTATTTTTGAATATCCCCCCTGTAGAGGGACAGGCCCGACGTAACCTTAGGTCGGGCATGTCCCCCTACAGGCAGGTTTTGTGCGCAACCGAGACATGGCCGAAACCTGCTCCACCATGGCCAACAGATCATCGAACAGTCCTCCCCGGACTATGTTGAGGCTGCCTTTGAAGACTCCTCCTGTAGAGGGACACGCCCGACTTAACCCCAACCCCGCTCCTGGCCATCGCTCGGGCGTCCATTCCCTGTGCTTTTTTCGGTTTCGTGCGTGATTTTTTCGCCAAATGATCAAGGATGCTCCTCGATGGTCCTCGCCGAAGGAAAATGCACACGTCCGAGCGATGCCAAGGCTCTGCGTGTGGCCGACCCTCCCTGTCGCTGCCCCTGCTCGCCCGCGCGCGCCGCGCACAGGCGCCCGGGCTCGCGCAGCGCCTCGCCCAGGAGCTCCGAGTGCAGCGCCGCGTACGCGTTGGGCCGCGGCACCCCGAGGGCGCGGGCGAAGGCGAGGCTCGGGGCGCTGCCGGGAGTGCCCCTGGCCGAGTGTCTGAGGAAGGGCATCGCCTGCACGAGCAGTGTGGGGCCCTTCCACGAGGCACCCTTCCACAAGAAGCCCAAGCCCGAGACCCCAGGACGTCCACGGACTTCGTGGCGTGGGCACGTCACGCTCTCCATCGCAAAGCCACCGAAATCCGAGAAACCCAGGGCATCCTGGAGGCAAGCAGGGTGCTTCTTGGCATGGGTCTCCACTGTACGACGCGGGATGTGCAGCAATGAGGTCCGCCACAGTCTGCGCGCCTTCGGTGGAGCTGAGCGGGCAAGCGCGCAGCAGGCTAGCACCAGTCCTGAGGATCATCCATCTCTCCGTGGCGATCGACTCGACGTCAACAGGGGATACGTCGACCCCCATCCCAGGCTTCGCGGGGGGTACGGGCCCCCACTGTAAGAGTGACGCCGGGCCCGAGTGACCCTTGGCGCGCAGCTTCTGCGGGGTGCGACGGGGCCGGGCACAGACGCGCCAGAGACGCTGCCATCGCACCGCGCGGGGCGGTCGGGGGCCTGCACCGGAGGTCACTCCGGCGAAGGGTCACTCTCACGTGCCGCCGAAAAACACACCCATAGTGCTACCCATCCTGCTACCGCGAGGGGGGTGGGGGAGAGGGGGGGGGAAGGGGGGAACAGAGGGGGGGGAGAGGAGGGGGGGAGAGGGGGGGAGAGGAGGGGGAGAGGAGGGGAGGAGAGCAGGGAGGGGAGAGGAGGGGGGGGGAGAGGAGGGAGGGGAGGGCCCACACTGCCGTGCTGGCCGTGGCGGGGCACAGCGCCTCGGCGGCCCTGCCGGTGGTGGAGGCTCCGAGGAGGAAGGGGTGCCCATACCGCTGCCCTCGCCTCGGTGTCGCCTCTTTGGGCCTCCTGGGAGGCCCTCGTCGCCACCGCGGGATTCGCCTCGGAGTTCTGGTCAGAAGGCACCCTTCGAGAGGTCCGGGGAGTAGCGGTATTGGTAACTTCTGGTTTCCCCAGGATGCCGGGGGCGTCCAAAGAGGAGGGCGTCCAAGAGGGGTGGGTGGGTGCAAACCATGGCCCGAGGCACGTGCATGGACGGGGGGGGGACCAGGGAACGCAGAAGAAGAGGGGCCATGAAAT